GTCACTACATCCCGACTGGCTCTGAAGCAAACTCCAATTTTTATGAACTTTTAATGATCAAATGAATTATTGTTCACATTATTATGTTGGCCATTGTTTAATAATATTATTCCCTATTTTTGTGCACTCACTGATAACTTATATCAAACTTGCGATTGCATAAAGTTACAAAATGGGAAACTCTGACTCCCAATAACACTTGAAGAAAAACGTGATCTATCTCTGCGTAATTAGTAGTTACGCGTTTCCAAAAAAAAAATATTTATGTATAAAGGATAGCCATAAAATATAATTTCATATATTATTCATTTTTCTTCACTAAACAGCATACCATACATTCTTTTCCTGTACTTGGTCCATATAATCTGGTAAACGAGCTTCGCCGGGGTACATCTGGCAGCTAATACGTTAATCAAATGTAATGGAATCTGAATCGCTTAACAATAAACCAACATTGCTTGCCTGTTACTTTTTTTAAGAAAACCTCAAACCACATCTGGGATGGTACAGGTATAATGTTATAAACACTGAGGCACGTAACTATTTTTAACAGCTGTTTATGGGACATGCTGAATTTCTCTACTGTAGTGCCGTGGGTATATTTTTAAAACTTTATTATGGGCTTCCAAACGAAGCAGAACAGATCTTAAGGAAGTTGGTTGTGAGGAACGGTAGTGGATGGAAATAGTTCATGATAGCGTCCTATTGGGGATTCTAGGTGTACAGCTGGAAATATATCAGAACTGATCGTAGAGAAGCATAATGAGAATGTACGGTTTGGATTAAACTGGTTCATAATAAGACCCAATGCTGGGCTTTTGTGAACAAAGTAATGAACTTTCTGGATCAATAAAAACAGGAAATTTCTTTATCAGATAAGCAACAATGATCTATTATATAAACGTTCACAAGGCGTTAGATGCAACAAGTAACTCACTGAGTGTTCATATTTTGAGGGAAGAAATTAAATTTGTGAAAACGAATACATGAAGTGATTCAGTAATAGCAAAGAGTAAGTACCGCAACAAATGATAAACCGACGGTAAGACGAGTCTGTTCGAAATCGAGAACAGAAACATGAAGGCAGAAATCATGCAACACGGTCATTCACATCTGACGTCCAACAAAAACGGAACTTAATCTACAATGAGTCATTACAACGACTAAGAACAGCATACAAAAGCCAAAAGCGGATTTCCCTGTGGCGCAACGCAACACATACTGCGGCCTATACACCCGGGTGACACTGGCAATTTAATCTTTGCATGTTCATTATTCCTGATACAATGCCAGCTCTTGCAATGTTATAATCTAAGAGGTGAGATCGGAGTATGGTCAATCTAGTAACAATACTGCACACAAACAATGTTCCTTTACGATGGCATATATGGTTCAGCGGGTAAAAAGACATTTCTTAAATTTGATGTTTCTGTTATCACACACTTCAATGTAATGTAGTAATGTTTCTTTTGTGGTTAGAACGATTCATAACTCACTCGTTCGAACAAACGTTTCAAATCTGCCTTAACAGTAATGTATTGCTTTCATATTACCAAAGGTTCTCTCGCTAAATGTAGCATCTTTACCCAATTACTTCCCGTTTAATTTAAAACATGTCTTCAATGCAGTAAGAAACACAATCAACTGGGAATGTGAAGGCAAGGATCTATGGCTCACTCCCCCCAATGATGAAGACAGCATCTCTGAAACGTCGGTAAACTTCCACGAGACTACACGAGGCAACATCCCAGGAGGCATCCATGTTCACCACGGATAACTTCACAGCAGTGAGAACGTAAAAATCTCAAATCCTTACACCGTTAACAAAACGACAGAATTAATTTGACGAAGTCCAAGGGGAGAAAACCACGTCTACTGCCCCTTATTTTCGAACGGTGACTTTGTCACAGTAACCAAGGTTACTGACTCGAACACTTCGGTTTGGAAATATCCGGCAAGCCCATTTCCATATCACCTATTCACTCCACATGGGGGCCACGTCCCACATTAATAATGTACGAAGCAGAAAACAATCTACTATCGATATGTTGACACGTGATTATGGACGGTAATGTATTCTTTTGTTCTTCTGACACAACACTGATAAGAATTTTGGCAATTCAGGCTTATACACAAATATGCCTAGGACAAGGCTAATACATTTACTCGGCTTTAGGTAATTTAAATGCGCTGGTCAACCAGGAACAAAGCCCCGAACACACTGCCCAAGTATTCGGAACAACCCAAAACATGAAGCTCATGTAAACGACGCACAACAAAAATAATTTTGCTCTTATCTGAAAACACGCCCTATCTCCAACACAAAATCAGTCGTTTATTATTTCTTTTTCCGGCTTCACGCTACTTTAACTCACTGAGGTCAAAATATTCTCAACACCGTGACTGAAAAAAGCGGACAGCCGACAATGAGTGGTCCTCCACTTTCGGGGCGGGCTGGGAGAATGACAATCCTTCACTGTAAAAAAAGGAACTAGGTTGTTACACAGGACCTCGGACATGGTCGGATTTTTGGAGCGACTTAGGCAATGGAAAATGTATGAGATATGTACATGTTTATTATTGGTCATAGGCCTATTAGGCTGTTAAATTAACTAGAATATTCCCATAAAATTTCTTACAGTCTAACGTACCACGTTCGGGACCACAAGCTAATTCGGTTATGTGCCTAATACAGGGCCTAAGTTACTGTATAGCTTTCCTATATCGTTATTACAAAAGACGGCAGATAAAACAATTTATCGACTGCACAAATTGCATAGGCGAATGACATGATTATAATCTATAAACGGAGACATTCATGACCTATTTCAGCATACCATCCGAGCATTTGACTGGGGGGAATTAGAGCAAATGACAATAATCTTAATCGTCACAGGCTTTCCCTTAATGAGCAACCGAATTAGATAACTCTCGAATATAAAAAAGGTACACGACGTTCAATGCTAATTGTCTTACTGGAAATAAAATTCAGGACAAAAACAAAGGAAGAGATACAAGCTACTGGAGCCTAGAAATCGGTTTAATATATTGGTAGAGAAGACGCATTCAATTATAAAAAGGCTTGGCGGTTGTATAACATAACTCGTTCCCTAACCGAACACGAACTTCCGCTTTTGACGAGAAGCTGGTATAAACACTGCGACTAAACGAATGAATTCTGATTGTGACAGTGTCAGTGCTCTTCACGTACACACATTCTCGATTCCATTATCAAAAGCTACTTATCAAATCTGAAACCTCAGGGAGTCCAGTAACGATAATAAGTTTCATGAACGTAATAAAAGAATTAGGTACTAATGCTTGAGTAGTATTTGTTTTGAACTGTAATTAGCACAGGACTGCATGGTTCAGTACGTTTAATCATTAAAGTGAGGGGATTCGTTTGACTGCCCCTAATTAACTTATTCATATTTCGTGGATTAGGTCCTCTGGCCTGGTCTTCAGAATTAATTCTGAAGCTATGAATCTTTAAACATGTGGTATGACTTTCTGGAGGAAGGCCCGGTCCATCCCGGGTCATCCCAAGGCGACTACAGCAGGCCTGCCTCCCACGAGGCAACGTAGCAGTATCACGTTTCCATAATTTACTCGCCTGTTTAAAAATCACATCAGAATCAAACAGAACTACAGAAACAGTTCATATTATAGGGCCTATCTGTTTTATAAGAAATATCACATATCTCCCTATAAAAATGATGGTATTAAGTTACGTAAGTCTGGCTAGTAGGTGTGAAATCAGTGAACAGGAGTTTCTTTACAAAAACTGTAAATTGGAGACAACA